GGGGGGAAGGGCAAAAAAAACAATGCAGGCATGAATTGGAGAAGAGACCGCTTGCTAGTCAATAATTAATGAAAAATAATGATTCTTCCTACATCAGCCTAACTCTAGATTTTTATCCATAAACAAGACCAGCAATATCTCACAGTTATTGTCAGTAATCATAGAACAAAGAAAACTCAGAACCCCAGTGTGGCATCAATTATACTAAATTCCTCTTTCTTAAGATTAAGGATGCTCTAGCTTCCTTACAAAACAAACCAAAAAAAACCTGAAGACGTTACTAAGTGAAGGACGAGTAAAAATACTGATATAGGTAAGAATACTCTACTGGTGACTGACCAAGGTACATTTTGTGTTTCATCCCCAAGAGCCATAACAAAAACCTGCAGGGTTTGGAGAAAAATTACAGCTAGGGAGATGTCAAGTACTTCCCTATTCTTATAATAATTACTTGGACAAGAGTAATTTCCAATAAGTATACTGAAATCTGGCTTCCTTTTTCAGATAATCATGAGAAAAATTGGGAGGATTTGTACACTTTGCCAGAGGAAAGTTACATGCACACAGTTTTTGAAAATTTAAACACATTAGGGCACTATAACTGTGTCTTCTGCTCTTAAAAAGAGTTAGTAGCAATTTGCTCAGTCACCTATTAGGTCACAATTAGAAATCAAGTTACATACAGAAAAGCCATTACCTTAGCAGCACAAAACATTCTATTGCTAGTAGAACAGCTGTACCAGCGGGATGGTTAACAGTATAAAAAACCATCATGACAAACATCCCTGCTTTAGGTACTCAAAGCAGAAATGGATCTGGGTAGCTCCAGCATGGAACTGGGATCCAAGGATTTTGATTCCAACTGCCAAACGTCTTGGCCAGGATCACAAGGATGAGGGCAAGCACATAAGAAATGATGCGACAGATCAGGCTAACGGCCTGTATAACAGCAGTTGTAAAAGATGCCCATTTAGGGAGAGCATGTGAGGCTAGCCACTTTGTTCAATCCATTCCACTAACACTACCCCAGCCCACAGAATTATTGGGGGCTATTAGAGTGTATACAGGAGCCTTTTTAGTGTCCATTCAAGGACCAGCTGTTAATGAATTTGTTTCATGCCTCTCTGAACCTGCTGACACACCCTGCCTCTGCAGCCTCCTGTGGTGGTAAGTTCCAGCATTTCACTACTTGCTGTGCAAAGAACTGCTTTTTTACCCATTTAAAATTAAACTAGCGATAAAAGGACTGAGTGTCAGATTATATGGCAGAATTTGCTGAGAAATAATTTGTGTTTAGTTTGTTGATTTCCACTGTGATTCTGCATGCCTCAACGATATCTTCTCCCTCAGCCTTTTCCTCTCCCAACAAAGGAAACCCACGCTTTTCAGCCTCCGCTTTTAAGGCAGCTGGCTCCGTCCTTGATCATTTTAGCTGCCTAGATGTGTTAAATTCATGCAAAATAGATATCCTCTTTTATGGGAAGAGGAAAAACAAGCATTCCACCTGAAATTCCTCAGAGCAACCAGGTATAAGCAAGAGGTTCCACAAAGTGGTGCTTTAAACCACTGCTTGATGTTCTCATTTATTTAAACCGGAATATTTTCTAGAAGTCTACAGAGCTGGCAATTACAGGGTGTCACCAGTATACTCCTCAATGTCAAAGGCACGTAAACAAACTGGACATAATCACACAATTTTAAGCTATCAAAAGTTTTATGTTTTAAAGTCACTCAGCAGCTGTGGCTACTCACTGCCTCACAGAGCTGATGATGCTGGATTTGGTTCCGTTTAAGATGAAGAACTTCCTTCCAAAGGGCTTTGTTTTCCCTGAAAATTCAAGGGAAACATTTCAGTAGCTCTTAAAGAAGCCTAACATTCTCATCTTAAAAACAAACAGGAGAAGTGTATGGGGGGGGGGGGGGGGGGGAACTGGGGTTTTGTAAATAAAACCAAACTCCAAGATAATAATTTAAAACTTTCTTCACAGTGAAATAAAATCTATTTTCACGAACACAGAGAGATTCTACGGAGATAAAACATGACAAGCTAAGATATCATTTCTCACACACCCTAACACCTTATCAATTAATCTGCTCTCCAGTCTAGTATCTTTCACTGAGTGATTGAAAGATAAGAATAAAGTTCATCCCTTTAAGCTTTTCTGTTGCTCGTGAATACAAATAAGCTTCAAAGCAAACAAACATGACTGAAACACAGAGTACTGATAAATTGTATGTACTTATTTGCAAAGCACGGACAGCCATTAGGCTCCCAGAATTATTAACCTAGGTCTCACTTATTAGAGCCATGTGCTAAAGTGACATTGAAAGATGGAAGAATGCCAGAGGTATTCCAAAGTGAAAATTCCCATTCAATTCGGACTACTTAGATTTGGTTCTATGGTCTACTTAGAGACAAGACCACATCGATTAAGACCACCTCATCACATCTTAAATATAAAAACCTTAGAACTGACAGGAAAAAGTAGTACGTGTGGGGAACAAGAGGGGAACTGGAAACAGTACAGAAAATAGCATGTCCATCAGCTTCCATAACTGTTTCAGTGTTGTTGCAGCCTCAGATCACCAGGCTGTATGTAAGTTAAGCAGTGTTTGCAAGGGGAGGTAATACCTTTTATTAGACTAATATAGTCGGAAAAAAGAACTGACGCGCGCCTGGGCGCGTAAGCCCTTTAACGTCACTATGCGCCTGAAAGCTTGCCTGACACCCTCTCTCATTATAAGTCAGTCTAATAAAAGATATTACCTCTCCCCACAATCAGTCTCGTATGTATTATTATACCATGTGCCATCTCTGAGAAGAGCTGACAAGATGAGCATATGAGTTCAGTAAGTCACGCACACTGAACACACTTCATGGCGGTACATAGTTTTTCTAAGACTGTTACATCATCAAAATGTCATGAGGGACAAAGCAAGCTATGCCAAACAAAAAACACATCCTATTTCTACATTTACCATTTGTAATGCAATGTTAAGGAAAAGGCAGCAGGAGGAAATTCAAACCAGGGAACAGGGAAAGAAGAACCTAAAATTTTGACAGTGGTATTTGTTAAAATGAATACCTGTACTACAGGAGCTATGTTCCTATTAGAGAAAAGAACTGACATGGGAATGAAAGCAAACCAACAGTCCATCTCGAACAGATGAAAAGAGATGTTACTCTACCTGAAGAGAGAGAGTTTATGCAAGTCCAAGCTAGTCACTTTCTCAGACCCCCAAGTTAGCGTTAAAGGTCTTTCAGAGAAGCACTCAAAAGCCCTGAAAATTCTCAGTGAGGTACCAGTCTTCAGCTGACTCCCTAGCTTTCACTTTCAAGAGTTGTCTCAGAAAAGCCTCAATTCACACAAGGGCATGTCAGCCATTTTAAGTTTTCCTGCTTTCTTTTACAACCTAGGATTTAAGCCTTTGCGTAAGAAACACGTTCACAGGATTCAGTTGCACACCAGATAAAACTTTGATTAACTCCTCAATAAGCGCAAGCCACTCCAGACGGAATACACTCCAGCCAACTTCAGGCATCTAAAAACTTGACATACAATTCTAAGCTCTCTATGTTCTACTTCATACTCTGTTTACAGTCAGCAAGCTATGCGTGTCCAAAGGGAGACTTACCCTATTCCAGGAGGTGCTGATTAGATTTAAGCGGTCTAATTTTCAGGCAGCAGTCCCTCAGTGTAGCAGAAAACGTACTTAAATCCTCTACTCCACCAGAAAATTGCCCAGCTTCTCTTCACAGAAAGATTTCTGTAGAACTCTCCTAGCTACATGCTAACATACCAGACGCATGATTTTAAGCGGCGTACAAAGAACAAGATCTCTAATAATCGTTGAGGACTGGGATCCTAAACACACTGTTTAGGACTGTAGTTCAACATTATTAAGATACAAGCATTGCTTTGCGTAACAGATGCAGCGGCAGATCATAAGGAGTACGGTATGTAGCAGGCTGCCGACTGCCACATTCGGTGGTTGCGTCAGCTCAATTTGGTTATCCAGGCCCCTTGAACAACTGATGGACGTACAGTTTCCTAATGGAATAGTTTTCCACAATCAAAAGAAATATTGGAATGACTTATTTCCTAACAGAACCCAAACAAGACTTTGCCTATTGAGGATGGTGGTGTGTTAAAAAAGCACACTCAGGAGCCTCATACATACTAGCATTAGAAGGATTCAACATACCGTTTTAATGATTCGAGCGTGGAATCTATCATATCCTGTTTTCCTTGCATCTGATGAATAATTGCTAACATCTTGTGGAGCTCCTCTGGATCAATCTTATCATTTTCTATACGAGGTAAAGACACCTATGACAACCAAGATATGAACACTGAATAAAAGCAGTGAGAAAGAGACAAAAATGAATGATTAGAACTCATTCTAATCTAGCTTCCTCCTCAAGTTATCAAAAGGTTCACATGAAGGAAAGAAATACGTATAGGAGAAGAAGGAAAGAGGTAAAGGAGCATGACAAACATGCACCTGTAACACTCAAGCTAATTGGGATAGGAGGTTTAAATTCTAGTGTGCGTCTAAAGAGCTGTATGAAAAGCATTTTAGATTTGCAGGAATGGCTAGCACGTACAGTTTGTGCCTTTTCAGTCTTTTGACACTTTTATAATTGATGATACTCTATTAGAATACTCACCATGAGAAGTCTTCTTGTACCACAGTGCAAATATAGAAGCTGGATTATACTACATCCTGTTTGCAACCAGAATAACTTCACTGTAACAGTACTAAATGGTGCTCTCCAGTACCACTTGATAAGGGCTTCCCATATCTTAAAGATGAATACGGTTAACCAAGAGTCCAAGACTAGAACACATCCACATCTAATCTATATATGAGTTCTCCCAACACAGTGTGGAAGTACGATACTCAAAATTAATACGCAAACTCAGGATATTGCCGGTGGACATAAACTTAGTAACTTACTTTCCTCTTTATCTTTGACAACAACTCTTCTTGGCCTTTTCTGAAAAAGGGATGTTGATATTTGCCAGAACCACATCGTTCTTGCTTTGCTGAGCCTGATTCATATTGCATAACTTTATGAAAGCCATCTAGAAGGAAAAACAAACACAAAGTTTGAGTTACATTGCATCTCCTTGTGTCCAAAGGAAAGTACCAACAAAACAGCTTTAAGATTTGCAATAGCAAGAACAACAGTATGCTCATCTGGCAAAATTCAGACATGGACATGGCCAAGCATGACCTTCAGGGAGAAGACAAACAAACAGTGAACTTTTTGCCTCAAAGAAGATGGAGAGAGAGCGCGGGGGAAGAGAAGGTCTTCCCCCCTTTGGAACTTGATATCCTTTGACAAATACTTTGCAGTTTAAATGACAATTGAGTTTTCTCACACTGGGACAAAAACCCAGAGTTCATAAAAAGCCAAACCAATCAACCAAACCCTCCCCTCCACCCCAACTTCAGGCTATAGTCTCAGCTTGCTTCAGCACAGACTGCCCAGGCAAGGCGAACTGCACTACGCAGCTTAATACCCATTGTAAAACTACTATAAACACAGTCTCCAATACATAAAGTTCTTTGGCGTAAGTGAGATATTGAATAAGTAATTCAATACTTACAAAAGAAGAACTCTCTTACCAAAAAAGAAACAAAAACTCCCAAAACCCCCAAATTCCCAAACCCACAGCCAAGGAGCAAATAAATTATACAATCAAGAACAGATTCTGATGCACCTGAAAAGGACAGCGGTTCACAGCAAAGACAATTAAGAAAGCAATAAATGTGGTGGCAGAAAGCTTTAGGAGGAGAAGAAAGTTAATTGTGGAAGAGGAGTGCATGACTACTCTGCTCTGTTGAAATTGGAAGAGCTTATATTAAGTAATACAAAAATATGCATACATTCCCTCTTCCTCACTCCCCAAAAATCTCATTTTTCCATAAATATAGTTTTCTTTGCATGTTTGTTAAACTTCTTCTAGTTGTTCTGAAGGTTGTCACTTAACTGAAAGGAAATAATTCCTCCTATTAAAGGATGCTCCTGAGAGGTGTACGAAGCTAAGACGAATACAAGACTTGAGGCAGAAGTAACTGAGCATCAGAAAACCAAAACAACAAAACCCAAAAGGATTAAAAGGAAAAAAAACCCACTTCCTAACACTGTTACTCTCCTGAGACAACTAAAAATCTCATATGAAACTTGCCACATATTTGGAATTGTGTTTTTGAAAACTTTAAAAGCATAACACTAGGATATGACAGACTAACTACTCAGACAATTCCTGCAAAAAGAAAGTAGAAAAAGTGTTCAGCAAGTTACTGGAATACATCTATCCAAAAGAAACAAAAAAAGAGCAAAACTATTTTGCTAGGTTGACTAACTTACACATTCATGGAGATGCTCCTAAATTTCACTCTAAGCAGTAAGAGAAACTAGCTGACGGTGTATTCCAATTCTAGATGATTGCTTCCCACTAAGATTTAGCATTTTGATCTAGAATTACGGTGTAGAAGTAAGTCATAGCGTGCTTTAGCTACATTTCTTCCTATGCAGGGAAGTCAGTCAATACTAACACAGCCTGTTACTCTTGCACTGTTCAAAGAGCTGTTATGCATGGAAAATGCAGGGAATATATCAAATAGAAGATCTATTTTTAATATCATCAGTAATACAACAGTATTTTAAGAACTGTCCAGAGCAATAAGTACATTAGTTAATGTTTCCGTAGGAACCTCACTGCAGGTATCTTGATTTTGTAACTCAGTTTCAGTATTTTAAACCTTCATAAAAATACTTGTTATTACATCACAATGGCCGCTTGTTGTATTGTATTTTTGAATGTATGCTTACAACACAATATTTCACTCAGGAAAGAATCAATTCAAAAAGCAATTATTAACCCACATCAATCCCCTGACCCAGTTCATTGCACAGCTTTACCAAGAGCTGTGCAGGCACACCCTGGAAGGCCATGCAGGGGCAGGGAAACATGCAGCAAGTCTGTTTGCTTGCTCTCACCTGTTTCTCAGCTCATTATTATTAACTGCCCACAGGTTAGAGATACTCTCATGGGTTAGTTTTGTCACTAAGAGAAGCTAAGCAGGTTACGTGACAGAGCCTTAACTGATCCTGTCATCACTAACAGGCAAGTAATATGGAAGTGAAGTCTGGTCCTGGAAGTTCATCTAGGAGAGATGCTCCACTGAAAACAGCACACGAAGTGGAATGGAGCAAAAGAGAAGGCACGAGAGATATGGAAGTAACAGTCAGAGATGCCAATACAAAAAGGATGTTCCAGGCAATTTTTCTATGTTCTGTCTAAAAAGAGGAATCATTTATCTAGTGGATCTGCTACACATCATAGTGTTCTATACTCATCATATTAGCCATATAGTTATATGTTGCATTGAAACTAGCACACCACCACAACAGACAAGAGCTTGTAAACACCACTAACTTGTGACACACATCTTATTTAAAAGCAAAAGAGTGCACAGAGGGACCCAAATACATTTCAGGTACAAAATGAGCCACATATGAGAAACTTTTAATGACTTAGGATTTAATGACCCTAGCATTTCAGTGATTAATACCACAAGTTATTTTTCAGGAGACTTTCAGAATTTAAATCAAGTGAGAACAGGAAATTCATCATATAAAGTGTTCCATTAAAATCTACACAATACATCTGTCATCATGTGGTGTGGTGTGGTTTCTGGAACCAAAATAACTCAATGGCAACGTGCCATGAAAAACCCACTGGTCAGAGAAGCCTTCATCAGCAGTTCACAAGTAAATGGCCTCTTACAAAAAACCCACCACACACACACAGAGAACAAAGTAAAAAACCCCAGCCAACCACCCTAAACATTCTTCCCCCGCCCCAGTACACCAAAGGCTGCCAAGACAAAGGAGATACAGTAATAGTTAAAAAAAAAAAAAAACATAGGCCAGACTGAAACAGTCAGCCAGACTACTTCTGAGTTCAAAGTGGCATTTCTGAAAGTGATTAAAACCACTCCCCCCCCATCCTTAACCATATATACAAGGTAGTCTCCTCACTCACTCTGTCTCAAAGACACCCAAATAGGAATTTCTCATACTGATACGTATTTATTTTTCAGTACAAAGGGGAGAATCAAGAGTCTTAAACCCTGACATCTGAAGTACCATCAGAAAAAATAAAAAAACCCCTAATCTTATGAGCAGCCAGAGAGTGTCACAGAGCATGAGCAGCAGCTTCCCTGCTTGCAGCCTTGCTTAGTGAGCCATAATTTCAATACTATTCTAAAACAATAGTGCACAAACCCAACATAATGCACGTAAATTACAAAACACTGATAAACGACAGTGAGACCCCTTTATTGATCCCCTTGCTATGTACCTGCCAGACATAGACTAAGAAGTTGCTCTCAGCCACAACTGTCAGTCATCACTCAATAGCCTGAATATAACATAAGCTTGAAAGTCACAGGCCTCACGTAAAGCTTTCCGTAAGCTTCCGTATCCTTTCACCAAGGCTACGGTCCTTCCCAAGTGGGCTCTCAGCTAAGGCTGTGCATTATATTGCAGTGCTCAAGCTATATGTGCTGAAAAGAAGTGTGCCTCACAAAATACGCCATCTCTTCATCATTTCCTCAAGATGCATTTAACAAAGACATCAAAGAGAACCCACATTTCCCTCGATGAAGCCTCTTACAAGAAAATCCTTTGCAAATTTTTACTCTTCCTTTCCCCGCCCCCGCTCTACTTTGCCAGAATTTCTCCCTGCGCACTTCATGCCTTCCCTTATTTATTCATCTTGGCTCAGGGAAAGATGTGCTGCAACTAACTTGGTACTCAGATGCTGGAAGACTGACTGCTGCGCTCGTGATGACAGCCCAACTTACTATAGCCTCTTGCAACAGTTAAGAAACTAAATTCTTTCCTTGCGTTGTACTGTTAATCTGTCTTTCTCTTCCACCAGAGCACTAGATGTCATAACAGTTGGAGGACCTTGAAGGCCTCTGTTCCTTTTCAGTTTTCAATGGAATTGGCCAACCAGGGGAAAGTTATTGAGAAAACAAAGGAACACATAAGACAGCGCAACTGTACAAACCTCAGAAAGGCACAGGACTATTCCAGGCCAACTGTTACCTAGGATTGCCAGCAGAAGTGGTCAGTCACAGAAACCTTAAGATCAACACTATTAAAGGAAGCTTTAAAAAAAAAAAAAAAAAATCGGACTGAGAATACCACAATATTTTACACTAAAAAGACAATGTATTAATCAGTGCATTTTGTCCCTCTCACTTAAACCTGCACATCTGGACTACAGTTGACTTGTCAAGCCACATCTTTTCACCTAAAGAAGTTAACTAGGAAAGGGCTGTGTGCATTCTTAACTAAGGCTTTAGAGAATAACATTCTTTTTTTTTTTTTTTTTTTTAAAGCATTGATGATATGGAAAAGCTGATATACAGCACTATGGAAGCTGACAGCCTCAACAGACTCATTTCCACGTTAGACATCATGACTTATGAAAAGACAGTAATAATTCATTTCTGGTAGCTTTATGCTCTTCCAAAACCATAGTAAGTTCATCAAGAAAGGCTGAAATGTGCCTTTCCCAAAGCTGTTCTTTGTGAGTTCCAACCAGAATCACCAGATCTTTGCCAGAGACGCTTTAACTGCTTTTGTGATATCTTAAAGTGTCCGCTTATTCTGAGACATAGGAAATATACAATTCATAGTGTTACCTGAAGACAGATATTATTAAATACTGCAACATTCTGGCAAGCCTTCTTACTCAAATCCACAACTCTGTAAGGGGTAAACCTTCAGAAGTGGCTCTTTCTTGATCTGAACAGCTGTTTTCTAGTTTTAAACCACTAGCAATCCTCATAGCAGACTAGATAAGGATTTAACTCCAGGCCCTCTTACATTTGCACCCAAATTTAAAGCCTAACTAGTTACACTAACTCAGTCAGGTGTCACTGGGACTACTCCTGTGGTAACCACAGAAACCTAGACACAATGCAGAGAAAAGACTTTGCCTTTGGTATCATCGAACCAAAACACCAGTGAGTCAACTTTGCAGCCTCCAACACACCGCTCCCACAGCTAAGTCAAACACAGACACGACGTGACAGTGCTCTAGATTCAACCGCATGGTGGCCACCCTCAGCCAGGCAGGAATGATTTCACCCACAGGAAAAAGAGGCTGACACCCTAGCAGTCATTCCCAGAGGCCCAGCAACACACAGCATGGGCAAAGCAAGGCACTCCGGGCCGTGCGAGGCACACAAGGGCACGGATGCCAAGCCGGGGCCACCACCTCCCGCTGCCCCGGACAGCGAGCAGCAGCACTTACAGGAGTTGAGCTGCCTCACGAAGCTCGCCATGTTGTTGTGCTTGAAGTGCTTCGGCAGGATCTTCTTAGCGAAACTCTCTTCATCCAGCACTTTGAAACTCTGCCCATCCTAGGAGAGGGACGAAACGGGCCGACCGCCCGTCACCTCCGGCCGCGGGGCGCCGCCGCCA